TGTAACCCAAACACCAAGTCACCTTGGTGACACATGTCAACAAATCATGTCATTGGCCAGGTCAGAGGTTAGTGTTTGGAACAGAAGAGGAGGAGGAAGAAACTGAGTAAAAAAAATATGTTTTCCTTCGATAAACATAATCACTGTACTACATGTAGATATCAGACCTGTAGGCTCTTGTCATACTCCTGCTGTATGAGTAGGTGTTTGTCTGTCTGGGGAGGTGTGACCTCTGACCTGGTCCCAGCATCCAGCACAGGCAGCAGGTGGTGGGAGGGGGGCGTGTACTCTTCCCCACTTGCTGAAATGGGATGCAATGTAACATGAAATACAGACATCAGGTGATTTGCTCATGAATAAAATAATCATACTAGGGTTGTTAAAGAACTTTGTCAGCCCCTCATTGCATACTTTATCAAGTAGTACATGGTAGTGTAGCGTATCGTAGCATTTATATGTAGAATTGTAACATTCCTGGCAAGTAACTTAGTGTACAATCTGTTTAGTAGTCATAGAACATGTTTTGTATTAGGTACAATTGCTCTCTGTACCCTTCATAAGTATAGTTTAGCGTAATGTAGAACGTACGTGTAGAGTTGAATATTTTCTAGCCAAAGGTTCTTTATATAGTCAAACACAGTAACCGTTGACCATACATGTAGCATTATGATAGACCCATACCAACTAGTAACTTTTAAATTATTATTTTCCATACATTGTAACCATGACAATCGTTGTGCAATAAACTTTGACTTGACTTTTAATTTCAAGTGTGTTGGCTGCAAGGGAATTGCCACAATACTAAGTTTATAGCTATGCGCCAATTTTGAGCTCTGCTTTTGTTTCTGGGTGAGGTTACTTTAACACTTTATGAATGACCCTTGAACATGTACATTAGTACATGTGACTTACCTGCACACAAAGCCTTCATTATTTCAGCAGTACCTCCTTCACATAGTTCTGTTAGAAGATAAACAATAAAAGTAATTAGAGTTTTGTTTCAATCTGATGTGCAAATTTCACTAAAATCATATTCTACAGTAACTAGTATGCCATCCTCAATTAAGTGTCATAGCTGTGAGTGTGTACTAGTAGACTGGGACAGGGCTTAATAGACAGAGAGAGGACAATACATGTAGATGTACATGTTGGATTAAGGAGGCTGTATGGATCAGGAAATCTACTCCTGTCATGAACCAGGATGAGGGGGGGTACAGACTCAGTCACGTTTGGGGCCGCATTCTTAAGAAGTTAGAATTATTGTATTAAATGACTATCAAGTACATACATTCCTGTAGGGTTGGAACCACATTGTGGAATCTGTTCTCTGTAACTGCTTTTGTTTGATAACTGACCACAGTTTTGTATATATCCAACACCTGTACGTTTGGGACCGCAATGTAGATACAGTTACATGATACACATATGTGTAGATACGTAAATATTGTGCATTTGGGAATGCATCTATAGCAGTGGCACCTGTGCTACAGTGCAATGTGAACCAGTCACTGAAATGTTAGCTGAATAAAAAGACTTGGTTGTGTAGAAAGAGTCCCTTTACTCAACCCCTCACACTGTGGAGGATTACACAAATGTTATAAAGAATATCTTATAATTGACAAGGTTTGTGTCTTTCTGCCAACATCAGTCATTTCTGCCAGAAAATGTTATTTCCTATGGAATTACCATACACGAAAATTCTCAATTTTGTGCATTAATAATAAGTTTGGTGTGTAAAATATTTTTTTCTGTTAATTTTACAAAAATCAAAGAGGTTGAAGAAACAAAACTCAGTTGGTCTTGTAGGTAGAGCATAATATTATATTATATTTCTATATACATGTACATTGTAACTTCTGATTTATTCCCTGGTAGAGAGTCACTAGATTTAAGTGTGTGCAGCCTTTAATGGAAACCTGGGATAAGCTGGGGTGTTCTGACTCCCTGTAAACAGATTTTTAGTATGACATCATCCTGCCTTCTGACAGCAGTCCAGAAGGGTGGCAGAACATGTCTGAAGCTGTAGTATCTGTATCTGTATAGCCAGTATGACCGCCTTTCGGCGTAACACCCCAGCTTCACAGGCACGCGGCGCGGCAGCAGTTACACCGATCGACTACACCTAACCCTTGAACTTCAAACCTGTATCTGTATTAGCGGGAAGCTGTCCAATCTCAGCTGTTTTTGATTTGATTTCATTTGTATGAACCAAAGTGAGTTTAAGCTGGTAACCCTATACATTATTACATGTAGCTAGATGCACATGACTGTAGCAATGGAACACTAACCTGCGGGAGGGTACACCATCTGTTTGACATCCACCAGTAGGCTCTACAGATAGGAACAGCACATGTTTACCACAGCAAGAAACAGGCTTACAGCCACCCATACTAGGTTAGCACCAACATACTGCAAGCTAGTAGCAGGTAACAAAGTTATCCAGAAACTACTTACTTTAGGCATTTGGGTTTTTCCATGCAGTAATCAATAGCAGCGGTATGACTAAATACCTGAACTGACCACTCCCTGGTCTAATATGGAGTATACATGGGTTTCAAGAACCTTTTTAACACTATGGATATATTGTCTATATAATTTTATATATATATATATTTATGTCATACCTGGGCCGCGATTACGTTTGATACGGGTATTATGGCCCGTGTGATAACTAGCGGTACGGCCCGGGGGTTCTTAACGCGTACGGCCCGGGCTTCCAAATGTTCCATAGAACGATTATAACGCATTTTGCCCTAACCGCGTGCACCACTTTCAAAAATTTGAACACAGAATTTAGAAGTTGGAATTGATGTTGCATATTTTGGGTTTAGGGACACCAAATTTTTGCTCATTTCACATTGAAAGGCATGATTTCTTGGGTGGGTATGACATGAATAAAATACAACACGGTGTATTCCGCATTACCCTCACTCCCAGCCCTCCCGTGGATCGGATCTCCCTCCAACCTTTGGTCGATCCGACACGCGGTCGGGCTAGTACCTCGGGCAATACGGAATACCCCGTGTTGTATTCTCTCTCTCTCTCTCCTACTCCCTCTCTCTCTCTCTCTCTTGTGTTGTATTCCGATACAAACTAGAATTGTGGCTATTTTGATAAGCTTATAACATGTTGATGTCTTGATTTTGATGACAACAATACTGACTGCTCTTAAACAGAAGTACTATCTGTTCTGTTAGAACATAGGGCAAAGTTGTTCTCCCTCAACTTTGTGTCATATGGTACTTTACTCCTAATAAGTCACTTGATCTTGAAAAAAAATGTTACTGAAAAAAAGCCCAGATAAGCAATTTGCAAGGTGATTTCAAAGTTCTATAACCAATGATGAATTCGGACACTGATGAGGAGAACTTTGTGGTCTGAGTTAGTGTAGTTCAGATTAGAACCTACCTCTAGTGTCTTTATCCTGCACAGTTGTTTAGGCAAAACAGAGACTCTGTTTCTGGATAAGTCCAGGGTCCGGAGGCTCTTCATGTTACCGATGGCACTGTGGACATCTGTCAGACGGTTTTCTGAGTAAGACAAAAACAAACATTTCTTGGCAAGTGCCAACAACAGATAAAACCTGGAAGTGTTCTGTGTTTTTTGAGAAAAGGTGCTTATGTTGGGTTTCCTGCAATGAGTCAATTTCTTCCGTCCTCCAATCTAAGGAAAATTGTAATATGATGTGTAGAAGCTGTACTTTTCATGGTCCTACAAGACGCAGGAATGCCTACTACTATATGTACAAGATCAGCACAAAAACCTTGAGTTGGGGTATAAAAATGGTGATTGATGAAGATTTCCATGGATTTTAATACCATATGTTGTGAAATTTCACTTTACCTCTGCAGTTGAGGGTTTGCAGAGCTTGCAGCCTACTGACAGCCTCAGGCAGGCTGGTCAGCTTGTTGTTTTCCAGGTTTAGTACCTGAAAAAAGGCAAACAGAGCTGATTATTTGTGTACAGCATGTCGGCACATGTTGATGTTGTCAGCCAAAAATGCTATAAAATGTCTAACAGACATTAGACATGATTTAGACATTGCTGAACAAAGGCCAGTCGGGAGAACATTTAGTAGACATAGTTACTGAAAAACTACATCGAAATACCAGTAACCCATTAGGTGGACATTTTATATCCATAGTCTCTTCACACGTCAGGTAGGGACACCCATAGGAGACAGTCTTTTGTTTCGCACAATGCGTACTTATAAAGATATTAGCATCTGTCCATTAATTAATGGTGTCCTGCCCTATAAATTGTCTTGGCTTTATGCAGTGCTTTTCATATGCATGCCAATTTTCACACTTTTTTTCTGAAGACATTCTGACAGACACCTCATGAACAGTGGAAAACACAACAACCAAGTCCTCCCCAAAAAGACCCTGTAAAGACCTGGGAAAGACATTCTTACAAATGTTTAAAAAATGTCCAGAACTTTCAAGAATGTTGAATGTTTGTTAGATGTTTTATAGACATTTTTGGCTCTACCAGTGATACACATAAATCTAACAAAAGGTATGGAAACTTATCATATCTATATATTGTAGTGATTGTGAGCTTGTCTTTAGAAAGACTTGCCTTAGTGACATGACATACTTACCTGTAAGGTGGCCAGCTCACCGATGTCATCTGGAAGAGATGACAGTCTATTCTGGTGAAGATCAAGAACCTAACAAGAAAGAATAATGATTTTAATAACCATGTTAATATGTCATTCAGTAAAACATCTGCCCACTGCAACAATTATTAAAGCTGTCGAGTACACTGGTGTCAACCTATAAATCTTAGATAATATATTATATATATATATATATATATATAGTAAAATACAAAGAAGTTCAATATTTCTTTACTATGTATAAATTACAGATCTATAAATTAGAGATTACACCTGATCATGTACACATGTAAAATTGAATCAGGAATCGAAATTCATTTTTGGGAATGGATGCCCCAGGTAAAATTTGTGTTGATACAAAACAGTATTTTTGCTGACATTTACATGTCAACGACATGCTATATCCATACTAGTATTATATCTTTATGTACATAAGCTACACAAAAACTTAGGTTCACTGGTGCACCCATGACCAAAATTAGGTACACTGCTCCAATTTTGCATAAAACTATTAAAAGTGCATAGTATATTGTAAGCAACCAGTATTTTATGCACATTGTCAGTGCATTTTGTTTAACAGATATGATTACAGATATATGTATTTTTTTTTTGCTTTTAACTATAACCAAAAATATTTTTTTTTAATTTGAAATAAAAATTTGAGGTACTTAAATTGCCAAAATGTCCTGGCATATGGTCCAAGGACTTGTGGCCAATGTACACGATTGTTCCTTTGCTTTAAGAATACATTTCTTCATGTGGAATGTGGAAGAAGTGTCCATAGACAACAATTCTTCATGAAGTTTTATATTTTGCAAATACATATGATCAACAACATGTCAATCTAAACAGATGAACAAAGTCATCTTTCATAACAATATATGTTTCATTTACATATCATTTATTTGATAAGGTATCATGGAAGGTATCACAGTCACAAGAAGTCACAATCCAGATATATATACTCGCAAACGACTATACACGACAACCACCTAATATCTGCTTACAAAACCTCGCCTACCACACAGCTACGTAAGCTACGGCCTATTCCACAGGATTACAGAAATAGGGGTGTTTCAGAAATATGAATACCTCAATATAAAAACTGCTATGGTAAAATTGAGGAAAACAAATTGTGCAGCATCACAGACATATCGACACACCACATGCTCAATTACATAGAAATACAACGAAGACAACAAAGACGAAACAGCTGTTTTTAATCAACGGCCAAAATCCGTATCTGCCTGAAGGAAATGCTTTTTTTGCACCCAGTCCCACGTGCCTCTTAAATTTAGGGGTAATAGGTACAGTAAAAATAAAAATAGTATTACATGCATCATCACAGGCATGCCTGCAGACGACGTATAAAATTGTATGCCGATTAAACAAAGGGAACCCTATGTTTTAGCTGCAAGTATGAAAAAAAAATGTCCACAATACTCCTCCAGGAGGTCATGACCTCCTTCACGGAGTACTAAAAGTTCCTCCATCTAACAGGTACATATATACCAGTATGTGGAGATGCAATTGGCATACTTACCCTCAAAGCACACAAATCCTTCAATATACCACCTCCTTTCAGAGAGCTCAAGAGGTTGGAATGGAGCAAGAGTACCTGAAAAACATCCATGACTTACAATGTAGATTGTACAACAACATTTCACTGTGACAGTCATATTACTGCAGTGCAGCAAAAACCATTGGGAACCCTGAAGTACAAAATCCAATGTAAATATCCAAGACATTTTAAAATTTATGCAACATGACCAGTGTCTCCCATCTTGGGTGTTTTTGATGGAAGATTTTATAGTCCTTTTCCTGACAGTGAGAAAATATCCGAGGACAGCTCGTAGTTGCCTGACAGCTCAGCAGGTTTCCCAGGCAACTTCCGCGTGTGCATAAGCCAACTGTTGGCCTCGCAATGCTACATGTAGGTCAGGGGTTATATGCAAATACACATATTTTGTCATGTAGACTCGCTATTTTTTTATGTCTGGTGGTCAGGGTACAACAATCACATGTCTGGTGGTCAGGGTACAACAATCATATGGTAAAGGTATTCTCTCCTCTATAGTATAGCACGTGCGAGACATATATGTTACAGTACCTATTATATGGGTATGTGGTAAACCTTGGCAAGTGCTTCTTGGTAGAAATATTAGGCTAGACTAATAAAAGGTAAACAGATTTAGGTATCATCTTGCTTGCAAATGCTACCTTTCTAATATATTCAATTACTATATAGTTATTTTCTTATCCTGCAATTTTGCATACCTCTTTCTGCAGCACTTTACAAAGCGCATATATTCCAGATGGTACCTACAAGAACAAAAAAACAAACAAACGTATAGTTATGACTTATTTCTATCTTGATACAAATGACAGCAGCTGACCCCCTGTGGAAGACCCGCTTTATTCTAATGGCCGCAGGTGACCCAAATGGAATATGTATTCCAATGACCACTGGTGACCCCATGTGGACCCCATATATATATAGTACAATTTAAGTCATGCCTAGGCCGCGATTACATTCGATACAGGTGTTCCAGTCTGGGCCGTACTTTACGGTACAGCCCGGGCTTCTTTACGCGTACGGCCCGGACTACCAAATGTTCCATAGAACAATTCGAACGTGTTTCGCCCTAACCACATGCACCGCTTTCATTTAATCTTATACGAAAATTTGAATAGTATTACGGAATTCGGACATTGGAATTGATGTTGTTGCATTATTTGGGATTTAGGGACACCAAATTTTTGCTCATTTTGCATTGAAAGACATGTTTTCTTGGGTGGGAATGACATAAATAAAATACAACACGGTGCATTCCGCATCACTCTCGGTCCCAGCCTGACCACAGATCCAGCTCACGGATCCGACGCGCGGTCGGGCTGGTACCTCGGACTATATGGAATACCCCGTGTTGTTTCTATATGACACATGTACATTATTCCATTCCAAAGACTGCCAGTGAACTCATGTGAACTTAATGCTACGCACCCCTGTTCAATATAAACGTCAATTGACTGACATTCATTAAACAAACTGTGATGTAATAATGGTATAGGTCCATTGGGAGGATAGAGGAGTGACTGTAGTTAGTGACTGTAGATAGTTAATTTGTTATGCAATTTAATTATGTAACGTTATGACGTATGTAAGTTGTAACGTAATACATGAATGTGTCACTCTTTACTGTGTCAGTTTGGATAGACTATATTATAACGTTAATGGCTTGCCTGATCCTCGGCGTATAAAGCTTAAGCCTTGTCAGTTGCTCCCCTTAAAAAAATCACCTCCTTCATTACACTTTCTTGGTGGTTGTGGTTACAGTCTTTTATACCTGAAAAGGCTTTATCACACCTTATACACCAAGGATCAGGCGGGTCATTATAAACCCTTAAGAAACACACATCTGATCAAGCAGACTTTTTGATATTCACAAAGTCAAGAGCAGAAAATATGTAATTTGTACACATCATGCAGTCAACAGAAGTATTAGTCTACAGTGGGTATGTACAAAAATAAAGCTTACATGTAAGCCCAGATTCTTATTTCTTTTCTCCCAAAAAAAGTGATCTACAGTATTTCAACATGTCAGAGAAGATAAAACCCATTTTTTCATGACCTACCTCTGTCAACTCACAATCAGACAAGTCATAGGAAGGCTCCGGGCTGGACTTGGCCTGCAGAATACATTCCAGAAACAAATCTAATTTTAAATAAAGCCTCAACGAAACACGATTTTAATCCATTTACTTTGGCTGTGTAGTCAAGATTTCGAAGGGGATTGTTGGAGATTTGGGTGAATCTATTAGAATAACTAAATTCAGAGTTCGAAATACAAAGGTGCAATGTGCAAATTGCACGTAATTTTCAAGATTTGCACCTAAAAATATTTTGAATGTGCAATTTTGCACCTGGAAAATACCGATATATCATGTTTGCACTGCGTATCTCCCAAGTTTCTTGCTGTGTCGGCATCGCGCTGGGCGCATGGCAGCCATATTGTTTTCCTTACTGTACATCCTGGGAACAAGCTGCTCTCGTCCCCAGGTGAAGACGCGAAGGCACTACGTAATGATTTACCAAATATGGCAAGACACGAAGGCCTACGTAGCTGATTTACCAAATATGGTGAGACCCGCGAAACTTGTTGCCCGATGTGGGACGAAGTCCTACGGCAGAGTAATGTCGGCTTTTTCGTCCAATTTTCGGTGAAATTCGGTGAAAAACAGAGTTTTCGGATTTCCCAGCATGAAGAAGGGCCCATGAAGAAGGGGTCGATTTTCAAGTTCTTTTCACGGGCCCAGCCGGCATCAGAGGCTGGTGCAGCCGGGGGCGGTGGACCAGAGGCTGGTGCAGCCGGGGGCGGTGGATCGGGAGATGCCACCGGGTCCACCGTCTCCGAGGATCCCACGGCCGATGTTGACGACGCGCCCCTAGAGGAGGGGGAGGGGAGCGCCAAGAAGCAAAAATTTACGTTGTTTTTTTCTAAGCAGTATTTTTCCTTATATCATGCACGATATTCAAGGTAAACAAATATGCAAAATAAATGAAATTTATTGCTCGCATACTGTTGGTAAATTTTCTTTATGTGCCGTATAAGATGTGGAAGTTCCAACTGTAGTGTTCGTGACATGATACCCCGGTATGACGAGTGAGAGGGCCGGAAGTCACTAGCGGCGTCCTTTGAAGCTAATGCCGACAAATTTTTTTTGTGTGTTCTTTTTTTTTTATAAACACAGATGATACTAGCATTGTTCATGTTTTGTTTGGTCCCTTCTTTTTAATGTATACTAAAACTTCTATATGCAGCGGCAGGCTAAGAAGGTTAATACACAGTAAAACAGTTGCAAACCTAAAGATGCAAGGCTAAATATAATTTTGCACATAAATTTTTCAAATTGCACCTAAAAATTTTGCCAATGTGCAATTTTGCACGTACCTGAAAAAAAGTATTTCGAACACTGAAATTGTTCTTACTCAGGAATGTTAAGTTAAATTGTTACTAAGTGGCATATCTATAAAGTTATCTCCAAGCAGATGCAGGGTAGGTGTCATCCTCCATAGTTTTTGCCCGCTCCCTAATGTCGCTAGCTACCACTGGGTCTGGACTTGCTGACATATGTAACATCTGGTGATGATGTCACATAATGAGATAGCGCAAGCAGCAAGGCTTCATTTGATTGGCTGAGCCTCAGGGGCGATGGCCAATGGCAGGCCTTCATTATTCGTGTGATTTTTAGCTTTGCCCTTTTGTAAACATAGATTTTCATGCGAGTGTTCCTTTTTTTCTGGGCGATCTATTTTTACCAGGCCCTTTCATTCGCGAATGAAAATTTTCATTTTTGAGCGATGATATGCCATCTAAATCGTCCAAAACGGACGTGACTGTGGAGTCAACATCAAGCTCCGAGAGCTGAGCAGCTTGTGTGTCAGCCATGTTCATGATCACGGAAAGCCTCTACACTCAGGCTGTATCAAGCGCGCTTTAGCGTTCGGTTCGACATTGGTCATGTTGATGAAAATTATGTAAGGATCTATCTTAACGTAGATGTTACCTAATATGTAAATCCGTTACACACCCAAAAAAGGGCTTAGTCGAGTAGGACCAATCAGCGCACTCGTTCAAAATCCGGACGAATATTCAGATTCCAGATGTTACATATGTCAGCAAGTCCAGACTCCATGGTAGCTAGCGACATTAGGGAGTGGGCGAATACTACAGAGGATGATATGCACCCAGGCTACCTGGGAGTGTCAATAAGGAAAAATATTTCTTATTAATTATAATGGTTACATGTAACAGTTAACTTTTATATCTGGACACCGGGAGTGCTTGTCAATAGCCACGCTCTTTTGTAATTGATTTCAACAAACTGTCAGATGATACTGAATTTGATCATAATACACGTATACCACAACATGTGTGCCTTAATGAGATGGGTACCTTTCGCTCTACTAGTTCAAATTCTGTGTACTAAAAAAATATGGTACTTGTAACACGTAACCTGACATACCAGGGTCATCTTATGTTCCATCCTCCTCTTCCCCTCCTTGCTTTGTTTAGGGCCGAACAGCGGCATCTTCCACACTCTGTCTGTACTGTAGTGTAAGAAAACTGTCCCCGCGTCCCGTCAGAACAACTTGTCGTATGTTATTTCTGGATCATAACACTGGTGATGTTACGTCACATGATAGTGAACAACCTCACGGGCGGCAAATCCGCGGATAATGACAGTTTCACCGAGCCTCAACCCGCGTCAAACGTTTCAGAACATGCAGGAATTCCCAGTTACACTTACTGTCAAACCTACAGGTTTGCTTAGTGTGACTGAACGCGTTTGTTTCGACGTTGATCTGACACCTCACGCTCAGTTCTGTCGTTTGTACGTCAGAATACCTGAGCTACAGGGGTCAACTGGAGCAGCTCCGCGGAGCTACCAGGTCATAGGTTAAAGTTCACCACTGCGAACGTGCTTGCAAACCTGGAAGAGGAGGAAGGGGGTTTTCAGCTCCGTCGAAATGGGCTCAAAATAAGCGTCTGAAAGGATGAAGCGATACAGCACATGCCGTAGACTCACTGGAGTTCAGGTATGTTGGGATATCAGGTAATTAAGTTACGGAATGCAAGGGTACCGAAGTATCACGGGTTCCGCATAATCTCCAAGCAGATCTTTGGTGGGGGTAAGACAGTATGGATCTCAAATAGGCCAGTCTGTAACCATTACAGACTGGCCTATGACTTACGATGGTTACAGACTGGCCAATTTGATACTGTCCTACCCCAACCAAATATCTGCTTGGAGATTTAGGTTCCGCACTCACCGGTGCACCGCGGTGTTGAGCCAAATACTTGAGCTCCCACATACGAGGTCAGGTGACACCCCTCTCAGTGATACCCCAGTTAGGTGTTTTTCGAGAGAACTAGTATCAAGAAGAAGGTGTTTAAGGCCTGCTGTTAGGCGCCCCCCCCACCCACCCCCCCCGGAACCTCAATTTCCCATCCAAGCCAGCCTAGCGGGGACCAATAGGCGGGCAGCATTTCGGCCACACCCACAACCCGCGCTTTAGCAAGATATAGTTGAAAAAGATGTTTATTAAACTTGTTCAAGATATACATTTGTAAATTGTTTTCTGAAATTCTGTGTCTTTGAATACAAATGTAGTTGGAGCAAAATAACTACCGAGCCGAGTTAAACCATTTCGGCACTCAGTGCTTGTGGTGCTTACGTCGGCCGCGCGGCGTACAGTACAGTATCTTAGGCCAAGTCTTTGTCTGTGAAAATGTAAGAAAAGAGGCCGTGCAGTCCTGTCCGAGAGTACCGATAACCTTGTTGTCCCGATTAAACTTTGTTACCCAGGCGGTATGATCTCGAAAAGGTGTGGCAGCATCTCGACACCCTTTTTAAAGACAAGGTTTGATTTGCCGATTCCAAGTTACGAGCGCTGAAGCCGCCGACACTGGACACCAAGTGTTGACGTACCTTCGGCACTGGAGATCGAGGACGGAAGCCGCCTCACCTCTGTATACCGAGTGCTGAGAAAGGAACCCGTTACTTTGGTACTTGCATTATTTTCACCCCAAATACACAAATTCTTACATTGTTTATCTGACTCAGATTACCTGCCGCGCCGCGGTACAGAAGGATGCTGTTCAACCCCATTGTCGAATGGAATCGCCCGCAAAGTGGGCGCGAGCGGATGCTGGTCACCCATTGGTCGCCGCTAGGCTATGTGGATGCGAAATTGATCTAGCCCCCCCCCCCCCACTGTTACAGGGTTAGAGTTGGGATCATTGTTCAAGGCTAGGGTTAGACTTACGATTCGGGTTAGTCTCCTTCATCAGGACTTATAAAACCCCTCCCCCCTTTCAACAGTCTCAAGTAGTGTCAGAGTCCTGTATTTGTCAGGATCATGTAACAGTTATATGGCTCCACACTGGGTCTGGGTTTTATCTGGCATACAGTACGGTAGCGTACTCTAACTACATATATAACGTTATTTCTCAAGACCGGTACCTAGCCGTGATGATGACTCATGATATCAGGTACATGTAGCTGCCTTTACGAGTTTTTAAACAACTGAATTTGCAGAACAAGCTGCTAGGGGGACTCTTTCTCTTGTATATAAATGACCTACCAGATCAGCTTGACTCAAATGTGAGGTTATTTGCCGATGACTGTCTATTGTATGTAGAGCTTTCTACACAGACCGACTCACAACTTCTCCAAAAAGACCTGAACACCCTGGAAGAATGGCAAAGCAAATGGCTCATGCAGTTTAATCCCGAAAAATGCTACATTATGCACATAAACAAACAAACACCACATGCAACTAGCTACCAGTTTTGTGGTCAGGCTTTAGCAACCATCCGTATCTGGGCGTCACGCTGACAAGCGGACTGAAGTGGGGTGCACATGTTAATAATATCACAACTAAGGCGAAACAGACATTGGGAGTGATTAAACGTAATCTGTGGGCATGTCCAACTAGAGTAAAATCACTTGCATACACGTCACTTGTAAGACCGAACCTAGAATACGCTGCGACAGTATGGGATCCATATACAAAGAAAGACAAAGACAAATTGGAAAGGGTACAGAATCAAGCTGCAAGATTCTGTATGAACAACTATGTAAGAGGTGCTAGTGTCACGGAAATGAAAAGAAACCTACAGTGGACCTCACTGGAAGACAGAAGAAAGATGTCTAGACTATGCATGATGTACAAAATGACTAATAAACTGGTGGATGTCCCAACTACTAAGTACCTAATACCAGCCCAGAAGAGAACAAGAAATAGTCACGCATTCAAGTACCAGAGTTATCAACCAAGGATTGAGGTGTTCAAGAATTCATTCTTTCCTAGAACTCTCGCAGATTGGAACTCACTGTCACCAAGTACAGTACGGGCATTGTCAATACATAGCTTTAAACAATGTCTAGAGCTTGAAGTTCAAGGGTTAGGTGTAACAAGTCGATCAGTGTAATATAGCCAGCTGCCGCCGCGCCGCGTGCCTGCGAAGCTGGTGTGTTACGCCGAAAGGCGGTTATACCGGCTATACAGATACAGATACAGATACAGATACAGAAATGTGGGTCACTTCTTCCCGAGCACAAAGTTATCTTCCATGTAAAATTTGTGACTCTAGCATGTCCAGATCACTAGATAACTGGAACTTCTGCTACAGTACTACAACAAGCCACCAAGTGTCTTAAAACCATTGGTTTCAAATAACACCAGGGCTATTGACAGGATGATGAAAAATACTTTTTCTTGCAGTTTTGACAGGAAGATACTGGTGATAACCATATCCTTATCAATAATAAAATGATAAAATCTGATTAAAAATATTGCAGTTTAGCAATAGTCCATTTTGTGTCCCCTTCCACCTACTTCAACTTGCTGTTTTTTAAACACTACAGGATGCACTACTGGTAGTGTGGAAAAAGTGAATTTTGTACATTTTCCATTATATTTCAGTGTATCAAATGTTAGTACCAGTCTTCCTTATGATCAGCTGGAGATAGACGCCCAGAACTGCACAGGTGACATCCTGAAGCCTCCAGGAGACCATGGCTCTTTGGTCAGCCATCACAAGCCTGTTTTCTAAAACAGACGACAGCACCACAAATTGGATAAGGAATAGAAACATTGTCTATGGAGACAGGACAAGGCAAGTTGTTTTGTTAATTGTAATGCTTGATCAATCGTAGGTGGCCTTCAAGAAGTGTGTACTTTAGATTACATTTAGACTAATCTAATCTCATCTAATTCAATCAGTATTATACACGTACAAGTTCACATGTTATTAAATTATATACATAAATTATATACCATTTTTTGTGATATGGCAAAGTGTCAATATTACAATATTGACTGGATGGTTTTGTGCCATGATCAGAGGTTATTTTTTTGTGTATATTTTTTCATTTTTGTAGGACGTTGCTGACTGTTTTTGAGAAGTACGATGGTGGAACAGGCAAGCTGGAGGCTGGAAATATAACTGCTGCTTTTAATGAAGTCAACCTATATCCATCCAGAGCCCAAGGTTAGTGAAAGGGGGAAAATAGCATCTTCCAAACTTTCCAGTCATGGACTGCATTATGATTAGCCTGATTAAATCTTATTTCTAGAATTTGTCAAAAATCAAATTAAAGCTTTGCCAAGAAACGTTGTCAAATAGCCGTCAAATCAATTTGCTTGTTGTTTATGATAACCATCTTATTTTGATCATCTTAATCCAACAAACTGGTAATGTCCCGGACGTTTTGTGTGGCTCCAAATTCAACCAGTGAGCCAAATTCACCAACACATGCATGAAATTGCCCTGTGGTCTGTAGGTTCCGTGGAGCTGGTTAAGTGCGGCAAACTTTCACCCAAAGTTTTGTGTAGTGTTCCATGTACAAATTCACAAAGTCTGACACACAATAAAAAATTGCCCGGCTGTCCATATGTTCCATTGAGCCAGTACTGCAGCAAATTTGTACCCAAAGTTTTGCGTAATGTACCTGACAGGTTCCGTACACGTAGCCGATGTCCCGGCAGTTTCAGACGCGTGTGTATAACGTTATATGTATATGAAATACATTTTCATCATCATCAATTGCATTTAACTTGTAAAAAAGAGCAGGTGTCCTTCACGGTGGGCGTGGTGCAATCCTTACAGTCTGGAACAATTTCACATATATTAAGTATATTTTATTATTAGATGAATAGAAATGAATAAATGTAGGCTGTTTTTGAGTGAGGGATGGTTTTTGTGACTTCAGTGCGTGACATGATCCTGTGTGCATCTGAATGTTCAAACCGTGAATCAAGAGACCACATTCTGTTTGGAGAGTTCTGCATCTTTGTCTCCGAGCTGAAGGAAAAATATGAAAGAGAAAGGTATGTTCTCTTGTCTTAAATCTTACTTCATGATGTAATGATTGCCTTTTAGTGTGTATTGTACTGATTAATCTACTACATGTACAATATTGTATCTGCTCTGCAATAATGATCAATACAGGTGTTCTGGTCCATGTGATAACTACCAGCATCACACAGGGCTGTAATGGTAATCACACAGGCTTCCAAAAGCTTCCATTTCGTTGAGTGCACTGCTTTGGAAAATTTGAATACTGGATTTGGACATTAAAATTAATGTTGTAATTTTTTTGTTTCAGAACACCAAAGTTTTGGCATATTTTGCATTGAAATGTGTGTTTTCTGGGGTGGGTATGACATGGTATTAAATAAAATATGACGGTGTATTTCGCATCGTTCCAGCCCTCCTGTGGGTCGGACCACCCTCTGGCCTTCAGTTGTCAGGTGATCTGGTCCGCAGTCAGGCCAGTACATCTGCTGATACAGAATACACCGTGTCTCTCTGTATTATTGCCAATGAATACAAATACAGAATAGAGTCCTTCCTGGATAACTAACCTTCACATACATATCTGGTAACTATGTTTTACTTTTTTGTTGTTCTAATATTATATGTCTCACCACATTTCAGCTCGTTGCCTCCACTCGCCACAGACAAAATAAAAAGCAAGCACAAAGTCCTGAAGAGACAAAAATCAAGTGAGCAGAATCCAATTGTAACTTTATATTCTGCTATTTTTTTAACCAAATCCTTGTTAGTGTTGAGACTGTGAAGAAACAGCCATTGTACATGTAGGTGCCCCTTTAGTAGGACGTTATTCATAGCATGTCATCTGTGTGAGTTTCAACACTGTCCAGTTGAACTATGCCCAGCAGCATTCTTAAAATGTTAAATAAAAATGTAGCCCAGGTCAAAACAGATCTCCTTGTTCCTTTAAGCATAATATTATAATGAGATGGTTTGACTCACATGTACATGTATTTGTTCCTCATTCCAGGTACCATGTCAAGATTTGAAGGTATGTGCCAACAAACTTATTTACTATTTTACTTGAATTCATAATTAATTTATACTGTATGTTTACCTCAGGATCTGCACAGATTTGAGCTTCCAAAGTCTGATTGCTGGTAGCAACCTTTAGTACATCACTATGTTAAATGCAGCATTGCTGTCAAGAAGATTTGGTTTATTTGTTTATCTAATTCTCCAGGGGAAACATAATGTTGTAATGTTATTGCCTATTGGTATTTTTCAATGTTCCCTCAGGCCACACCAATTTAATTTCTTGGTTAACAGATATTTCTACAAAAATAATGGAGCGGGCGGGCGAAAAAAATAAAAAAATAAAAACAGGCCTAGACATCCTATTATGGCCCAAAATGGTACGATAGGAGCCATGAAGTCAACACACCAGGCTGGTTCAAAATTTAAACAATGAATTTTGAACTTTTAATGATACCATTGCATTGAAAGATGGAATAATTGTAAGAACTAGGATGAAAATCATGTGACTCACCAAATGAGGTTTACATCAGCTTAAGATTGTTGTATGAATTGTTTTCAACATACATATGTACAAGCACTCTTAGTCTCAGTATCCTAGGGTCAAGATACCCAAGGAGCTATTATAGCATGACTTGTTTGATTTCACTTCAGTGTTCCTGGGAGGCTCCTGTGTCCCCTCCACATGGAGACAGGATGTTGCTATCCCACTGCTTAAGCAGTATGGGCTGACATACTTTGATCCAGTAGGTGCCTTTATTTTATCACATTTTATAGTTCCTCTTATGTCAAGTCAAGGATTTGTTCTCCAGGCAAGTGTATATTGTCACCCAAAAGTTAACCATGTAGCAATGCATGTCCAGATTAAATTGATATACAAAATTATCTCGAGAAAGATTTAATTATACAAAAATTTGTTTGAGAATGCATGTTTACATGCTTGAAAAATGTGTCGTACAGCTCGCGCCATGTGCATGCACGCTCGACACATAAAACGACTCACGTGTAAACAGGGCCATAGAAACAAATACAGGATAGACAATACTCATTTTCACTTGAGTTAAGTGAGGAAAGTCATATAAAGTGCCTTTCCCAAGGGCACAATTGGTGGCATGTCAGGTCTCGAACCCAGGACCTCTTGGTTCCGAGTCAAGCACTCCACACGACCCCACGTTTTATGCCACATGACCCCACATTGGTTTGCTTGTTTGTGCCTGTATCTAACTTCGATGTTTGCCCCAGATTAACTTGGCATTCCATATTATTATATTCTTGCGCATTATTCCCTGGTAGAGATAGTCACTAGACTTGAGGGTGTGCAGCGCGAATGGAAATGCAAAGTAAACAGGAGTGTGCTCCATAAAGCAGGCACCCCTCTGAGGCATTGCCAAAAATAGGCATTCTGTGATTAGGTGCAGAGTCTGTTGTATCTAGAACTGTGCTTTATCCAGAGCCATTACCAGGCTTGGTTTTGGATAGTCCATGTAAATCCAGAACTGTGCCTGGATTTAACATATATACCCAAAATGGACTTGACCTCCTTTTTTTATCATAAAATCATTTATTATAATTTGAATGATGATATCCCAAATTTTGTATTCACATGAAATTTATTACAGAATGTATGACATATAATCAACATATAGTTTGACATTTAACTTTCATTATTTTCCAAGGTGCATGAAATCTGGGGACCAGAGCTGGTTGAGGTGGAAAACCAGGCCAAGAAGGTACCAGTACCTACATGTAAGATTTGTAACACAACAGACAGGTCTGTTACTTTAGGTGATAGGCCACACCAATTCTATTCTTTGGTTCTTGGAATCATTGCTTCACCTTTTCCAGTTTTTGTTTCACGTATCGCCCGCAATGCATTGCCTGTCACAAGGTACCAGAAGCTGAACACAGTTTTTGCCCTTAGATATATGGAGATTTCTATAATAGTGAAGGATTACCCAAAGTGAGAAGGTGTGACGATGTAAAATTCATATAGTAGGGTGCACAAACAAGTTACAAAAATTGTTTGGGTTCAGGGTACAGCTTACAAAATATGTGAAAATCAGTTTGCTTCTCTCCCTGTAAAACCCTTCTTTTTTTGGCGCATTGCGAGGGTCATGTGAACTGCAGCCGACACATGTGCATACTCGTTATTCTCATGTTTGAAGTACAACAATTGTGCTCGTGCAAATAGAACAAACATGTGCATGAGCATGTTGTTTTTCTTTTGGAAGATATGCGTTTTCAAGAGATTTATTTGATGTGACAAATTCTTGCTCAACAAGGCAATCCGTCTATATCAATCAATCTATAAGCACTGTTAGAAACTTCCACAGACACGCATGCGAGACATACAGGCACAGACTTGCCAAAACCACTTGGTACAAATGTACATGTATGAAGTAATGATGGTTTTTAATAGTTTCACTGATTTATAAGGTCAGGTTAGATTCACTCACATCATGACATCTGCCTGGGCACACATGTCACTTACTCACTCACTTAGGATTAGATTATACTGCTGCTGTTGTCCCTGCCACAGGGGTCGGCAGCAGTCGGCTAGTAGTACTGGTCTTCACACCGCTCCTCCAGGCAGCCCTATCCTGTGGGTTAACACTGGCAAGGCTGCGCTCTCTAATGTCTCTCTTCACACACTCCATCCAGGTCTTTTTCGGCCTTCCTCAACCTCTGCTGCTAGGCAGCCGCAGTTCAATGATGTTATTAATACAGCCACTGGCATGCTTAAGGTGTCCGTACCATCGTAGTCGGCGGGACTGCACCACATGTACAGACATGATATCCTGTAGTAGGCCTTCTACACATGTACAAATGTGCAATGCCTTGTTCATCATTAGTATAAGAATACCTACCAAATGATGAAGCAACAAGGGCATGAAGAAAAGACCCTGTGTTTCTCCAGGCTGCAGACTTGTTACTGTTTGTGTTTGATGATGTGACCAGGGGTGTGGCAGCCATGGTGGAAGTAGCATATCTTGTGGGTAAGTGTGGTGAATATGTTATTCAATTTTTATAATTAACTTCATCATCAATACTAAGAAAGTGAACTGTCCTTACAACATAGTGTATCCTATTTATACGTGTATGCCAAGGGGAACATCAAATATCCCAAGAATACTAATTTTGCGTGAGTAAAATTGACCAATATGCTAATTTCCTAGCAGATCTTTCTGTGGTAAAATAGACACAGAAGCGAGTGGTGTCTTGGTTCGCAGTTACGATTTTGCCATGGGAAGATCTACTTGAAATTGAAATTTAAAGATATCACAAACAATACATGTATAGGGCCTTAATTTGGTAAAAATATGTATCTCTTAGGACAAGGCCGGCCTGTAATTCTGGTTGTGAAGGGACTACCTCCATCAGGAGTAATGATTAATGGACAGACTCTACACCGCAGGTTGGTAGATTTTCCAACAAACAAAATTCAGGATTCCTTTCTTAAAATGTCTTTGATGAAAGTCTCCATGGGGAAAAATCCTGATCAATTATAACAAAGAAACTAATAAATGAGTATATGTTTGATAAAAATTCTATCATGTATAGTTACTCA